AACCTTTGGCATTTCGCAGCAGGGATTAGGGCTTGTAGTCCAGAACCTTTACGGCGATGCCCACGCTCAACATGTCAAATCTCCCAGCATGCCGTCAACAACTCAGCCACAGCCATTTCTCCCGGGGAAGCAGGCACAGAAACCTGGCCAGATTCTTCAGACTGTTATTCCATCGAACCAGGCTGACTACAGAGCGCCGCAACCTCCCGGCTCTCCGGCCCAGACCGTCTCAGTGACTTCTCTTCCGCTCGTGACCCCCTTGAACCAGGGTCCGTCACTTGTCATGACTCCTGCAGCGGGAAGCGCTCACATGCTTGGATTAGTTCCTCAGCCCGTGGATGGCAGAGGGCTTCCCATCAGCCAGCCGGAGCATGTTCAGGGGCTTTTACAGCAGTCGGGCATCAACACGGCTCTAGGGACCGTGTCAGCCGCAGCTGTTGTACAACAGGCACCAGTGCCTCTCATTCAGCCAGCAGTAACTGTGTCTGTCAGCCCCCATGCTGTGGTCCCTGGTGTGCAAAATGTGCCTGTTGTTATGTCCAGTGCCTCTAATACCCCCCAGGGCATGCCAAAACAGACGCCGGCCCCCCAGCAGAATCAGCCTCAGGGAGTCCACAGCGGTTCAGTAGTAGGACTGGGTGCGTTGACAACCCCCGCTAACTTTAGCCAGCTTCCCACCGGCGTCGCCCTGGCCAATGAGAACCAGAGGAAGCCTTACGGGCTACTCCAGAGCTCTGTGCTCATAGGAAAAGATGCCATCAAACCCCTGAATCCCGAAGGCTTGCAGCTTCCCACACCTGCTGTCAGCAGCCTGTTTGGAATAGCTATTACCATTGACGGGGATGAGGACAGGTAAACTTTTATTCTTGATGTTGCTCACTTGGATTAAAAATAGATCAAATATGCGTTAAGCAAACCGTTTTATCACAACTCTTGCAGGTGTTGCAAATATTTACTTTTGAAAGCATGTTACCTTGAAAATATGTCCGGGTGTAGGAGTTAATTTTGTCGGGTGGGAGTCAGAATGTGCTTTTTTTTTTAACGTGGGTAGTTTTCCCCCCTAAATGATTCATTTCCAAGATGATTAAAATCATAAATCAGGGACCTCCAAACCTGTCCCTGGAAGGCACTGACCTGCAGAGTTGATATCCAGCCTAAATTAAACACACCTGAACCAGCTAATCAAGGTCTACAGGATTACTAGAAACTTCCAGGCAAGGCGTTAAAGTTGGCTGGAAGAAAACTCTGTATGACATTGGCCTCCGACACCCCTGTCATAAATTTACCATGTTTTTATATATCTCCAATTTTAATCAAATTAATGTACATTTCTAATAACACTATACTTTGTGTTATATTACCTTGGCATAAATTGAATTACATAAGACTAGTTAATGCTGTTGTGTGGGTGTTTCTAATACAACAGCTGAGGGTGTGATGGCAAATTTGACTTCTTACTCTCTTCTGACCACCGTAATCAGTCTCTGTATCCCCCCCATCTTTTGGAGAGTCATAGAAACACTATAGTGGAGAGTCGAATGCATGTATTTTGAAATATCTGAAAAATAAGTTAGAAAAAGTAGTTTTTCTTTTGCTATTGGAGCAAATGCAAAAATCACTACAATAGAAGTTTACCCAACTATTATGACTTCTGAGAACCTGATAAATGTGGAAAAAGGTCCGTTCCACATTTTGGATGTGTCCTTAATTTTACACATCTGATTCAAGTCACCAGCTCATTTATATTGTATTGACATCTATAATATGAAGGGGGTCTCCATGGCAGGATGGGAAGTACTGCTTCAGTGAAACATATTTGTGAACTTAAGTGAAATTTAATTTATAACAATGCAAGGATCTCATTTTTTCAAATCATGTTGTTATACCAGATGGTTTGAGCTAATTCCTACATGCTTATTTTACATAGTAAGAATAGTTTTAATTTGCTAGGCAGTAGTTACGCAATCCTGAAGACCTTGGTTCAGGTGTGATTGATTAGGTTTGTAGCTAAACTCTGCTGTACTGCAGCGCTCCAGGAGCAGGATTGGCTGTCCTGACTTCGAAGGATTTTACTCAAATATGTAAAAGTCTCAACTTTTGTTCACCTTGTCATTCCAAACCTGTATGACTTTTCTTTCTTCTGCAGAGCACAAAAGAAGATTTAAACTGCTTTTGTCCAGTCAGTGGGGTTTAAAGCAAAGGTGGCAGTTAAAAAAAATCTTCTTTTGTGTTCTACAGAATAGAAAAGAAGAAAAAGATTATTTGTGGTTCTCAAACATTAGTGGAACAAGTTCATATTTAATGTGTTAACTTGACTTCATAAAACTCACCTTGACCAGCTGGTTTAAAAGTCACTGCAAACGTGGCTCAGAAATGTGTAGATCCGAGGAGACACCTTAGCATCAATTTTTTGCACGTAGTTATTTCCCCTGTCCTTCAAACTTGTTATAAAAAAAGGCAGCCTGTGGTTATGATCATTTCATTGGTAAAGCATTTGGAAAGGTTGACACCTAAGTATCTGACTCAAGTGATCTCGTTTTGTTTTTGTAGAAAAAATTCACATCAAATTTACCCTCTGTACTATCCAGTTCCTAAAGATTGTTTTGGTGCCACTAATTTCCTCCTCACATTCTTTTCACCAGAAGTTGAGCTGTTTATTTAGACCGATTAGGTGATGCTATATCTTGTGATGTGCAGAAGCTGCTATGCGCTCTATGCACTAACACTGATAAGGCCTTCAAACATGTGTAACATCTGCATGATGTAATGCTGCATATGGATGTTGTTTACTATCAGCAGTTGGTAGGAATCCAAGAAAAATCTGTACATTCTGTGCTGAATACATGCTGCCACCATTCTTGACAGGCTTTTGAGAATTGTTCAGAGGCAGACCTGTAACCTTTGTGGGTTTAGTTTAAATTGTGCTCATTTGTAGACGTCACCATTTTGGTGTCCACATCAAGTTAACTTGACAAAAGTCATTTTAAATTAGGGCTGGACAATAATTCAATATCAATATGTATCGCGATTATAATTCTTTTCAATAACGGTGATGATTTTTTAAAACACATTTCCGATATACATTACCAGTGTTTCCCATACATTGATTTATTTGTGGCGTTTGACTTCGTTGAATAAACATGAGTACTGCACGTTTCAAAATCTAAATGCAGCGCGGGTGTTTTATATGAATGTATCTCTGAAGGGAACCGACTGTCTTCAGAAAAGTTTTGATAGCATTTTCATTTGATCTCTTTCCCCACCAGCATTTAAAAAAAAAGTTGCCAGCCACCGCCAGCGATTTGGATGATTTTTAGTAAAATTGGATGGCCTCCAGTATATTTTGCTGTATGAATATTTGAATATGCAATACACCAAAATAAAGAT